TTTTAGAGTCACAGCCGAGCTGCCAGAAAACAAGCAAGAGCATGGTAGCAACTCTACGTGTCTGTGATTTGGATTATCCTACTGCTGGCATAAACTTCAAAGAGAATTGGGACAGAACTTATAAAAGGTACTGAAGACTCGTTTAGTGGAGTTCATTATTTACAACAGCAATGGCAACAGCACAGTAAGATTTCATACAAACATGTCTTGGCTTTGGTGTGCAAAAACCTGCCCTCAGTGAAGCATTGTCTTCATAGTCCTTCCATGCTTAATCAGAACGAGTGAGGACAGCAATTCCTGAAACACTCTCCTACAAATACAACACTCTCATGAATTTGTTTGAGAATATTTGTTTATTCATCCCATGAAAGCTGTTGAGTACAGATAAGAGATGGATTTTCCTAGGGCTACGTGCAGCCACAGCATTGAGGGGATGGAAAACTGCAGCTTTGTGAAGACTTCTTGTGCCCAACAGTGACAGTGGGAGATCATAGAATCAGAGAATCCTTTAGGTTGAAAGGGACCTCCAAGATCATCAAGAGAGATGCCAGTCGCTTTCTCTTTGTGACATAAATCAGATCATACCTTGTTCAGCTCAGTGCCTAGGTTAGGAAAATTATAGTAATCTGATAAAATAATTGTCTATAGTTATAATCAAACAAAAAAAATTTCAGAATGTTCTCAGAAATTGGGAAAAAAGTCTTTTTCCCTAGCTCATCCCCAAACTATTTTTTTTTGGTATTTATTTAACGACTGTTAAAAAAAAAAAATCCATACAAAAAAAATTATTAAAATATATCTCCTTTTTTCAATCCAACATTGCCATGTGAAACCAGAAACTTTTAAGCAAAGCTTCGGAAATGCCAGATTTGGGCACCTTTGAAAACTGAAAAATTTAATTTTTAAATAAAAGCTTGCTAATTTTTCACTGTTTCCCCCCAAACCCTATTTCTTTGAGCAAAAAACACTGGTAATTTGAAATGATTTGAGATCTTTGATAGCTTTCCAAAAAGCATTTTCAGCACATGATGCTTATTAGAACACCAAGTTGTCTATGTGAGCAGCAGTCAGGTGACAGCAGCATTTGTAAACGAACCATCCTCCTGACTATCAAGATCCAAACCTGTTTCAGGAAAGTAAAAGGTACCATATCCTCTTACCTATCTCCTGAACCACTGTAACCTTTATTTAAAATAAAGATAACAGACACTAAAGCCAGTATCACTGGCTCCTTTTCCTGGCCAGAGTAAGAGAGCTGCTAATTTCCTTAAGACACTTCGGAGGTGTGGTTGTAACTATGGCAAGATAGTGATCTTTGCAGCTCCAAGATGGGAGGAAGCTGCTTATTACTTGCCTGGGCTATCTGAGGACTGGGGTGTTATCTTTCCAAGACACGTCAATGTAAAGCCACACATTGAAACCCACTGTGTTTATGTTTAGAATTGTTCCTTTGTTTTAAACCAAGTGATTGCAGAGCACCTAATTGAAATAATTGAGTAGGATATTTGGATGTCATTCCACTCCAGCCAGTTTCTGAGACCTTTATCTTTGGATCTTATTCAAATAGTCTTGACACTGATGTCAGTGTGAAATAGCTTGAGTAAAGACCTCAGAAGAGTTAGGTAAGTATTACACTTCACCACTTGGCTGACAGGAACACTTGACTTATGATGATGGTATTTGGCTTCAAATTGTCAAGAGAAGGGTTTCTTTCCTAGTTGTCACCAACCCCTTGGATTTCTTTTAATGATTACTTTTTTAGAATCAAGCAGGTATCTCTTGTTTTCTCCTGTTGGTTTTCACTCTCTGTAAGTTCTTTGGGGCAAGACTTCCTAAGGAAATGTTTGCTACTGAATGTAGCAAATGGGTAAGAATAATTAAAACCCAAAGGTTACAGGATTGTATGACACACATAGCAGTACCTCCTTTCTAGCCCTGTTGCTGTGTCAAATCCTCTTCCAGCCCTGATGTGATTTTATTCAAGGTTCTACCTTTAGCTGAGCACAGCCCTTAGATGTTGGCTCAGAAAGAGATCAAAGATACACAAGGATTTATTTCAAATAATATGCAAGTCATTAAGGGTTTAATTAATTCATTCCTGGCAGTAACTTATTCTCTAAGTAGCCCTCCAAAATTAACGAGACTAAAGACAGTAGCAGCTACCCTCACTATTTGATTCTGTAGGTTAGTATAGTTAATGGGTAGGCTTTTACCCCC